AAAGTTGCTTTTATAGGCTTGGAGAAATTAAGCCTCAAAGTTGGAATTTTGCTTAAATTTTATCCAAAATTTCAAGTTGAAATTGCTCAAAAACCACTGGTGGTAAAAATATTTCTCAAATACCACATCAAAGCATTCAGTGACAGCTACAATCTCAGAAAAATTGGGTACGATACCTTTTATGGATATTGAGATATTGCAAAATGAAGATTTTGAATAAGAAAGTCAAAGGGGTAAACACCTAAAAAAAAAACGAAATTTTCTATTTTTCACTTTTTCCAATTTTTGACTTTCCCAATGAAAAATGGAGGTCAAAATTGGCATAAAACAAGATTAACATTTCTTTAAAAAGTAGATTTGAAAAATTGCAAAAAAACATCTTTTTTAGTCTTGGAAAAGTTTTGATGTCCTGACATGGTCTCAAACATTTGCTCACAGTTTCCATAATTTTCATCGAATCGACTTGTATCATAGGTTTTCTGAAAGAGGATTAAATTCTCTATAAATCCTCCAAATATGAATAAAGTTGCTTTTATAGGCTTTTAGAAATTAAGCCTCAAAGTTGGAGTTTTGCTTAAATTTCATCCAAAACTTCAAGTTGAAATTGCTCAAAAACCACTGGTGGTACAAATATTTCTCAAATACCACATCAAAGCATTCAGTAAGAGCTACAATCTCAGAAAAATTTGGCACGATACCTCTTATGGATATTGAGATATTACATATTAAAGAATTTTAATAAAAATATCAAAGGGGTAAGTAGGTATTTAAAAAAACGAAATTTTCTATTTTCCACTTTTTCCAATTTTTGACTTTTCCAATGAAAAGAGGAAGTCAAAATTGGTATAAAATAAGATTAACATTACTTTAAAAGCAGATATGAGAAATTGCAAAAAAAACATCCTTTTTAGTCTTGGAAAAGTTTTGATGTCCTGACATGGTCTCAAACATTTGCTCACAGTTTCCATAATTTTCATCGAATCGACTTGTATCATAGGTTTTCTGAAAGAGGATTAAATTCTCTATAAATCCTCCAAATATGAATAAAGTTGCTCTTATAGGCTTGGAGAAATTAAGCCTCAAAGTTGGAATTTGGCTTAAATTTTATCCAAAATTTCAAGTTGAAATTGCTCAAAAACCACTGGTGGTAAAAATATTTCTCAAATACCACATTAAAGCATTCAGTGACAGCTACAATCTCAGAAAAATTGGGTACGATACCTTTTATGGATATTGAGATATTGCAAAATGAAGATTTTGAATAAGAAAGTCAAAGGGGTAAACACCTAAAAAAAAACGAAATTTTCTATTTTTCACTTTTTTTATATTTTGACTTTTCCAATGGAAAAAGAAGATCAAAGTTAGTTCAAAACAAGTCTTACATTTTCTCAAGAAGCAGATTTGAAAATTTGCAAAGCACATCCTTTTTAACCCTAGAAAACTTCCTATTTTAGCTTTGTGAAATTTTCAAAATCTTGATATGGTCATGAACAATTGCCCATATCTTTGTTAAATTTTGACGAAATTGAAATAAATTATATACCATTGGAAAGAGCATTAAATTCTCTATAAATCCATGCAAAATTGAGTTTAATAGCTCAAATAGTTTTCGAGCAATTGAGCCTCAAAGTTGATTTTTAGTCCAACTTTTGTCAAAAACTTCAAATTCAATTTGCTCAAAAACTATAAATCTGAATATATTGTAAATTACAGGCCATTTAGAACTTGATAAAAGCTACAAATTCTGGAAATTTTAATGTAATTTGCTGAACGGTTACCGAGAAATTGAGGTTTGAATATTTTGAAATCAGAATTCAAAGGGGTTAACCCTTGTGAAAAATTCGATTTTTTATTTTTTTAGTTTTGCTCAATTTTGACTTTATGAATCGATAGAGCGGGTCAAAATTAGTGGAAAACAACCCTGATATCAATTCCAAATGGCCATTTTACGCAGACACAAAAATAAAAAGAAAATCCTATTTTTGGCTCTGGAAAATTTTCAAAATCCTGACATGGTCATGAACAATTGCCCATATCCTTGGTAAATTTTGAGCAAATTGAAATAAATTATACATCATTGGAAAGAGCCTTAAATTCTCTAAAAATGTGTACAAAATTGAGTTCAATACCTCGGATAGTTTTTGAACAATTGAGCCTCAAAGTTGACTTTTGGTCCCAATTTTGACAAAAACTTCAAACTCAATTTGTTCAAAAACTAGAAATCTGGAAATATAGTAAATTACAGGCCATTTAGAACTTGAATAAAAGCTACAAATTTTGGAAATTTTAATGCAATTTGCTCAACGGCTACCGAGCAATTGAGGTTTGAATATTTTGAAATCAGAATTCAATTACGAAAAACTCGATTTTTTTATTTTCCAGTTTTGTCCAATTTTGACTCAGAGCTGGGAGTAACGACAAAAAATAGTTACTTTACTTTAACGAGTTACTGAAAGTAACGCTTTGCTTGGTAACTTCGTTACTTTTCAGATTGATTGATAAGTAACTGTAACGACGTTACTTTCCTGAAGTAACTGCAGATCGTTATTTTGTTAAAGTAACGAGTTACTATGGAAGTAGCGCGTTACTATGAAAATTACGCGTTTATATGGAAGTAACGCGTTACTAGTTACTATGAAAGTAACGCGTTCCCTCAATAGAGGTGTCAGAAAAGTAACTATTTGTTACTCGAGTACTCGTTACTTGCCCGGATCCGAAATAACGAATACAAAAATCGCCGGCGCTATAGTTATTTGAGTATTCGAATCGAAATTCTCTATGCGCATTGCGCACCAAGCTTATACCAAATAATATTATAATAAATATTATTATCATCATACATATTTTTGTTTATTCAACCTTCGACCAGATTCAATAATATATTCCAGTCAGAACGAGTATTTGAGTAACGAATATTTATGAGTAGTCAAAAGTAACTGTATTTTACATCTCTATCCTTCAATTTGTTTATTTTCTTTACAAATAATTGACAATTGAGGAAAAGGGAAATAAGTAATCCAAAAACTTTGTATGTCAAATAAAATGTGGGTAGTATAGAAAATTTGTTTTGAAAGCTCAAAATAATCGTTTTTGGGCGTGGCACGCGCCGCCTCTGCTTTAAAGACACTATATGCAGACACTGGGACGCTTCAAAAAGCAGGTTTGTCCAAAACCAGGTTCTCTATTTAGTCGCTTAATCCTTAATCCGTTTGAATTTTGCAACAAAACTAGGGTTTCCATACGTCCGGATTTACCCGGACATGTTTGGGTTTTTAGGGTGTCCGGGGAAGTCCGGCCGGAATTCGGAACAATTTCCGGAAAACTTGGAGATCGTGAAAACAACCTAACTTTGTTAAATATTTCAATCGTTACAGTTATTTATTAATTTTTGTAATAATGTATTTTTGCAAAAAATTAACAAAATTCATCCTTTATAAAAATTTTAAATTGAAATTTTTTCTTCTACCTACCAATGAAATATGTGTAAAAAATACATTTAGACAAATACTTTATGCACTAGTGCGTAAAGTGAAGTAATTTACTAGAAAAAAATGACAGTGTCGACAAAAACTTGCATGCAATACGTGTGTAAAGTGAACCTTTTGTCACGAATGTGAATTTTGACTGACTTACTGACAAAATTCCCATTCGTGAAAAAAGGTTCACTTTACACACTTGTTGCATAAATAGCTATTTCGGCGAAGTCCGGATTTCTTAACTCCTTTGTCCTGAATTCCGAAAAACCTTTATGGAAACCCTAAACAAAACCCTTCCACATATTCGGACTCACAAACTAAAAACATATTGGCATTTCGTAAAGGTCTTATTTGATTGTTTGGACTGCTGTGTTGGTGAGTCAAATTAAGGAATAACGCAATTTTCGACGTAAATAGTTATATTTGAAGTAACGCGTTACTTTAAAAGTAATGCTTTGTTTAAAAGTAGCGCTTTATTTTAAACTAACGCGTTGAGGTAACGGGTTACTGTCAAATAACGAATTACTTTTAAGTACCGAACTACTTCTAAAGTAAAGAAGTTATAGTAACGCGTTACTTTCCAATAAGTAACGAAAATAAAGTTATCATTATTCGAAAGTAACTGTAAATTTTAACTAACGAGTTATTTTTAAGCAAAAGTAACTGTAAAGTAACGCGTTACTTTTTTCAAGTAACGATCCCAGCTCTGTTTTGACTTTACCAAAAACTTCAAACTCAATTTTCTCAAAAACTATAAACCTGGGAATATTGTAAATCACAGGTCTTTTAGGGCTGGATAAGTGCTACAAATGCTAAAAATTTCAATAAAATTTGCTTAATGGGTACCTAGTGATTCAAGTTTGAATATTTTGAAATCAGAATTCCAAGGGGATAACAGGTTTGTCCAATTTTGACTTAACCAATCGAAAGAGTGGGCCAAAATTAGTGGAAAATAACCCTGACAGCATTCCCAAATGACCATTTTCAGCAGAAACTGAAATAAAAAGAAAATCCCATTTTTGGCTCTGGAAAATTTTCAAAATCTTGACATGGTCATGTACAATTGCCCATATCTTTGTTAAATTTTGAGGAAATTGAAATAAATTATATACCATTGGAAAGAGCATTGAATTCTCTATAAATCCGTGCAAAATTGATTATGATAGCTCAAAAATTTTTGAGTAATTGAGCCTCAAAGTTGACTTTTAGTCTAAATTTTGTCAAAAACTTCAAACTCAATTTTCTCAAAAATTATAAACCTGAGAATATTGTAAATAACAGGTCTTTTAGAGCTTGATAACAACTACAAATGCTGGAAATTTCAATGCAATTTGCTCAATGTCCTGACATGGTCTCAAACATTTGCTCACAGTTTCCGTAATTTTCAACCAATCAACTTGCATTATAGGTTTTCTAAAAAAAAATTAAATTCTCTATAATTCATGCAAAAACGAATCCAGTTGCTTCTGAGAAATCGGGCTTCAAAGTGGACATTTTGAATTGAAATTCCATTTTCTTTTCCAGAAAAAACTCAAACAAAATGGCAAAGAACCCAACAACGTCCCAAACGGTTTGGACCCATTCGGCGAAGAAAACGACGACGATGTCCGACGTATCGCCTTGGAAATGGAAGCCAAATATGTAAATAATTTTAATCAACCTTGAACCAAATTAACCAAAACTTTTCAGGGCAATGTAGGGAGTTCTGGCCCCAAAAAAAAACGCCAGGGCCGCAAAGACGACTACGCTGACATCGGAGCAGGCTACGATGAGTCAGATTCTTTCATAGACGATACAGATGGGTATGACGAAATTATACCCCACAATGTTACTACTGCTAGAGGGGGCTTTTACATAAACAGCGGAGCCTTAGAGTTTAAAAAAGATGATGAAATCACGTCTGAAGTATCTTCTAGCAGTAGCTCTAGTGAAAGTGAAGAAGAAGAAAAGAGTCCAGAGAAAGTTAACAGAAAAGTAACAATAATTATTTTTGCATTAAATATACTTATACATTATTGTTTTTAGAGAGTACTGGATACAACTGATGAAGAAGAGGAGGACAGCAACAAAAGTGCCCCAGCGGTTGTTGCAGAAACTCCAAACATTAGCATGCACCAGGCCATTAAAAAGAAACTTTTTAGTACTGAGAAAATTCAAATTAAAAAACGCAAACTCGCCGATCAACAAAAGAACACTGTCAAAGAACTGTTGAGAGAGAAAAGAACTGAAACTAGTAATATTAATGCTAATAATAGTAGTGGTAAGTGGTACTATGTGGATTCAAAATATGTGGATCTAAAATTGCATTTATTACAGATAAAGACACTTCAAAAGAAAACAAAAAACCGATGAAGTTAAGCAGCGTAGACGACACAATAGATTCAGTAATTAACCGGGAAATTCTCTTGACAGACAGAAAAATCGAAAATAAAATCGTCCTTCCTGAATCAATTATTCCAGAATCCAACAGAAATGGCGAACAATTGTTGGATACTGATGCAAGCGATACTGACACCTCGAAACAAGAGTATGTCAAGCTACCTGAAAATCTGCCAGCGGACATTTCAGAGCTGATTGAAAACATCAAAGCGGCTGCTGCAAACTACAAAGATGGAAAAAAGTTGAAGTTTTTTAGTGGAGATGTTAATACTATGTTATTGAAGTGAGTAATTTGATCTAGTTTTCAGTAATTATTAAAAGAATTCTTTTTAGTTTGGAACGTAAGTGTAAAGTATTGGGAAGATCCTCTAGGGCAAGAGTCTATGAACACTTGGCTCCATTTGTCAGGTGTCGCAAAGAGACGCTGATGAAGCGAGCCAAAAATCTGGTCTACCAAAGCGAACAACAGAAATTGACGAATACGATTGCCAACTTGAGAGGTCAAATTGACAGGTTGATGCCGGCCTTGCAAGCAAATTATGATTTGGATTGTCAGAGGATGGCGCTGAGAAAGTAAGTAATATACAGATCTACAAATACTGGAAATTTCAATGGAATTTGCTCAACGGTTCCCGAGTACTTGAGGTTTGAATATTTTGAAATCAGAATTCAAAGGTGTTAAGTTCGCGGTTCAACTACAATCGGTTCCGGGTCGATTCTGAACTAGTGATTCTAGGGATTCGTAAGTTGATCCCATTCCAAACCAATTGGATTGTCATGATTGTTAGAACAGGAAGCATGTGTCTTTGGTACAAGTGTAAGGAATTAGAACTCAGAATCACTTATTCTCGAATTTTTTAAACACTGTTCTGTGTTCGCGGTTCAACTAGAATCGGTTCTGGCTCGATTTTGAACTGTTTTCACTGGTTCTAGCGATTCATTAGCCGATCCCTTCCTGAACCACTTTGGATTGTCATGAATGTTAAAACAGGACGGATGAAATCGTTTCCAAAAAATATTACATTACTCTTCTTGCACTGATTCAAAAACTATTACCCCAGTGCATGTTTCTTTGGTACGAGTGTAAGGAATTAGAACTCAGAATCACTAATTCTCAAATTTTTTAAGCACTGTTCTGTGTTTGCGGCTCAACTAGAATGGGTTCCGGGTCAATTTTGAACTGTTTTTACTGGTTCTAGAGATTAGTTAGCCGATCCCACTCTGAACCACTTTGGATTGTCCTGACTGTTGGAACAGGAAAAATGAAATCGTTTCTAAAAATATCAGGATTTCTCTTTTTGCACTGGTTCAAAAATAACTTTCTATTAGTAGTTCTATCATTTCTGTTCGATAAATTACGGTTCAAGTGCACATTTTTTGGTAGAAGTGCCTTTAAAAATTAAATCTAAAGTTATCGATAAAGATTCTGAACTAAGAATCACTCCGAATCAATTTCAGAGTAGTTCTACCTGTTCTGTAAGCAGAACCAAGATCGATCTACGTCGATCTTGTAGTGATTCTACCTGTTCTAATATTCCATTAGCAGAGCCAATTTGGAACCAGTCCAGGATTGTCCCTAGGATACTCAATAAATATGATCCAGTTCAGGATTCTATGCCATCAAAAAGGATTCCGGAGCAGGAAATGAGAACTCGAAGACCTCTATTGCCCAACAATAATTTTTATGAATATTATATACTTCACATTGTTATAACTCTGAAACCAATAGACCTAGTTCAAAGTCCATCCGGAACCAACTCCAGTTGAACCTGGAATAAAGAAATGTCATTAAAGATTCCAAAATTAATGATTCTTAGTTTCAAATCCTTATCGATAACTCAAGAGTCTCTTTAAGGATTCAAAACTCTAGATTTTTAATCACAGTCCATTGTTTGCGGTTCAACTAGAACAAACTCCGAATCGATTTTTGGAGTAGTTCTACCAGTTACAATATTCCATTAGCGGAGCACATTGTGAACCAATTTGGACTAATCTAGGATTGTCCCAGAATGCGTAATAAATATGATCCAGTTCAGGATTTTATTGCACTAGAAATGATTCCGGAACAAGAAATGAGAACTCGAAAGCTACTGCGCTTTTTTTAAACTAAGGTGTCTGGTAAAACTCTGGATCCGACAAAATTAGTTCAGAGTCGATCTGGAACCGAATCTAGTTGAATCTCGAACAACGAACTTGTTCTAAATCTTACAAAACTAATTTTTTTGCGGATCATATTTCGAATCTGTTCGGAACTAGTTCCATAAGACCGATAAAACTAGAATGGATCCGAAGCCAGGAATAAAGAACTGTAATTAAAATTTCGGAATTTAAGTGATCTGGGAACATTATAAGGTTCAGAGTAAGTTCTATAAGCCCCAGAGAAAGTTCCAAGTTTCCAATTTCTTGTTCCGAAAATTCTAGCAGATCTTCTTGATTTTTCGAGCAGGTAGAGCAAGTACAAACGAATTCCTCATAAAGTTCAAAATGTTCTAAATTTAGCGCAAATAAGCCTTCGAGTTTTCATTCTCTGCTCCGGAATCGTTTTTGGTGCAATCAAATCCTAAACTGGATCACATTCATTAGGCATTCTAGGACAATCCTAGATTAGTTCCATAATGGTGCGGAATGTGCTCCAGTAATGGATCATTAGAACAAAGAGAATTACTCCAAAATCGATTTGGAACCTATTCTAGTTGAACTGCGAACAATAAACTGTGATTAAACAGTAAAGTTATGACAATGAATCTGCGTTGTAAATCCTTGAACAGTGACTTTCAAAGGCTTTAAGAATTGAGAATCACTAAGTTTCGAATTTTTAAGTTCTGTTCTGTGTTCCCGAATCAACTAGAATCGGTTCCGGGTCAATTCTGAACTAGTTTTACTGGTTCCAGGGATTCATTAACCGATCCCATTACGAACCAGTTTAGATTGCCATGATTGTTAGAACAGGAAGAATGAAATCGTCTCCAAAAAATATTACAGGATTTCTTTTCTTGCACTGATTCACAACCTGCGTTCTATTTAATAGTTCTGAAATATATTTTTGTGTTCTATTATTTTCTATCCAATAAACTATTGCCCCAGTGCATGTTTCCTGGTACGAGGAATTAGAGCTTAGAATCACTAATTCTCGAAGTTTTTTAATACTGTTCTGTGCTCACGGTTCAGCTAGAATCGGTTCCGGGTCGATTCTGAACTAGTTTTACTGGTTCCAGGGATTTGTTAGCCGATCCCATTCCGAACCATTTTTGATTGTCATGATTGTTAGAACAGGAAGGATGAAATCGTTTCCAAAAAATATTGCAGGATTTCTCTTCTTGCACTGATTCAAAAACTGCGTTCTAATTAATAGTTCTCGAATGGATTTTTATGTTCTATTATTTCTATCGAATAAACTATTGCCCCAGTGCATGTTTCTTTGATATTAGAACTCAGAATAACTAATTTTCGAATTTTTTAAGCACTGTTCTGTGTTCGCGGTTCAACTATCGCGGTTCCGGGTCGATTCCGAACTGGTTTTACTGGTTCTAGGGATTCGTTAGCCGATACTACTCTGTACCACTTTGGATTGTCCTGATTATTGGAACAGGAAAAATGAAATCGTTTCCAAAAATAGCAGGATTTCTCTTCTTGCACTGGTTCAAAAATTACTTTCTATTAGTAGTTCTAGAACAGTTCTTTTATTTCTGTTCAATAAATACGGTTCAAGTGCACAGTTTTTGGGAGAAGTGCTCTTCAAAAATTAACTCTAAGGTTATCGATAAAAATTCTGAACTCAGAATCACTAACTTTCGTTTTTCTAATCACAATTTTTTGTTCGCGATTCAACCAAAATAGATTCCAAATCAATTTCAGAGTAGTTCTACCTGTTCTTATTACCCGTCAGCGGAACTAATCCAAGGTCGATCTTGTAGTAGCTCTACCTGCTCTAATATTCCATTAGCCGAGCACCTTCCCAATCAATATGGAACCAGTCCAAGATTGTCCCTAGAATACTTGATAAATATGATGCAGTTCAGGATTTTATCCCACCAAAAACGATTCCGGAGCAGGAAATGAGAACTCGAAGGCTTCTATTGCCCAACAATAGTTTTTACGAATATCATATACTGAGCATTGTTATAACTCTGAAACCAATAGACCTAGTTCGAAGTCCATTCGGAATCGACTCCAGTTGAACCTGGAACAAAGAAGTGTTATTAACTTAGTGATTCTTAGTTCCAAATCCTTATCGATAACTTGAGAGTCACTCTTTAAGGATTCAGAAATCCAGATTTTTAATCACAGTTCATTGTTTGTGGTTCAACTAGAACAAATTCCGAATCGATTTTTGGAGTAGTTCTACCGGAGCACATTGCGAACTAATTTGGACTACTCTAGGATTGTCCTAGAATGCGTAATAAATATGATCCAGTTGCAATAGGAATGATTCCGGAACAGGAAATGAGAACTCCTGACCTTTTTTTAAACTAAGGTGTCTGGTAAAACTCTAGATCCGACAGAATTAGTTCAGAGTCGATCTGGAACCGATTCTAGTTCAATCTCGAACAACGAACTGTTTCTGAATTAGTTCTAAATCTTTATCTCAAACAACACTATTTTTTTTGCGAATCACACTCCGAATCTATTCAGAACTAATTCCTTAGAACTAGAGTAGATTCGGAACCGAGAACAAAGAACTGTAATTAAAATTTCGGAACTTAGTGATCCGGGAACATTATAAAGTTCACAGTAACTTTTCTAAGTGCAAAAGAAAGTTCCAAGTTTTAAATTTCTTGTTCCGAAAATGTATTTGATGAAATAAAATCCTTTTTTTATCCTGAACTAATTCCAAATTCGTAATCCAAAATCCATTGCAAACTAGTTCGGATTCCTAGAACCGATAGAACTAGGTAGATCCAGAACCGCGAACAAAGAAGTGTAACTAAAATTTCGAAATTTAGTGATCCAGGAACATTATAAAGTTCAGAGTAAGTTCTCTAAGCGCAAGAGAAAGTTCCAAGTTTTAAGTTTCTTGTTCCGCAAATGTTCCCAGTGAAATCGAATCCTTTTTCCTTTTCTAAACTGATTCTAAATTCGTAATCCTAAATCAGTTGCAAACTGGTTCGGAGTCGATCCGGAACTGATTTTAGTTGAATCTCGAACAACGAACTGGTTTAATTCGTTCTAAGTCTTTATCTCAAACGACACTTTTTTTGTGGATCACATTTCGAGTCTGTTCGGAGTTAGTTTCTTAGAACTAGAGTAGATTTAGAACTGGGAACAAACAACTGTAATTAAAATTTCGGAATTTAGTGACACGAGAACATTATAAGGTTCAGAGTAAGTTCTGTAAGCGCAAGAAAAAGTTCCAAGTTTCCATTTTCTTGTTCCGACAATGCTAGCAGTCTTCCTAATTTTTCGAGCAGGTAGGGCTAATACAAACGAACCCCTTATAAAGTTCAAAATGTTCTAAATTTAGCGCAAATAAGCCTTCGAGTTTTCATTCTCTGCTCCGGAATCGTTTTTGGTGCAATCAAATCCTAAACTGGATCACATTTATTAGGCATTCTAGGACAATCCTAGATTAGTTC